CATCTAGAAATTATAACTACCATAAATTATATTAAAGCTATAGTCAAAAGTTTCGATTTTCACTTGAAAATTTCATCGGAATTAGCACCAACTTAATTGTGGAAGTCCTATAGCGAAAGGCAAGAACATCAAGGAAGGAAGTTGATGTTTTGTAACAGCATAAACATATTCCTTACATTTAGTAGCAAAGCCATGCAGTGTAAACAGCGCAAACAACAAAGAAAATATAACTTTTTTATGCAAATAATACTTAATGGTATTTTTGGTGTGCAGTGTAATTTTGTTTGCATCATTTACCATTACGCCTCTTCTGTTTTCGTCGCTTATTCTGTTCATCATGTCTCACAAGTTTCACTGTAGCAGTAAATTTTCATCGTCTTTATTTGTTCATTATCTGATACAAAACACGAAGCTGGGTTCAATCCAAGTACAGTTATGGAAAGAAAACATTTGTAAAGATTTTCCTTGACTGCTGAATTCGGTAAAACTTCAATATACGACGACGGATGTCTTTCATCAAATTATATTGAACACAAGATTTGTTTCAAGAGTTTGAAGTAGCTCAACAGGACTAGTTTTTAAGTTTGCCCAAACGAATAACTTGCAAAGTTTAATGCTCTCAAGGTCTCTCAATAGGAAGAAAAAGACTTGATATTAGATCTTTGTCATAGAGGTAATTCACAGTGTAATTCGCTTTTCATGATTGATAATAGAGAGTAAAGAAAAGTTTGCTGCGATTCATAAGCCCTCCGGAAAAGATTTATCATATATTCTGTGTGTAAAACAAACAAGAGTGTCAMATTTGTCRGATAGAATGGAAGTTTAATGAGGTMAATTGGCTTTTTTTGGACGTCTTGTCAAGATGAAGAATGGCATCTTGCTTYGAGAAGGGGGGAGCAAACATGTTTGTCTTCTTCTGAAGCGCTTTATTCAGCGAAACAAAAGTATTTTCACTCGTTGTCTTTCATTGATATTTAGTTTTATTCCTTTTTAGTCGACTKCAAGGATYAAKSGGCAKYCACAGAGTCGAAGAAACCACGAGMTTCAAGAGAGAAGTGWAGCCATTGGAAGCGAAGACCTTCTTGGCGACTTAAACACACAAAGCAAGAGGCAAAATGAGAATGAGCTYAMWCACAAGGATATTTCATTGCATCAAAATGGTCAAGGATTTCGAGGAAATACTATTCGATATTATTCTAGTCTTTCTTCAAGCAAGAATCCCTTGGAGTCTCATCGCGAAAGGCTAATATTAGGACACAAACGTTATCTTTCTCCTTTCGGTAATGAAACTAAAACCGCTAAGCAAGGAAGCTCGCAAAGATCTGGGCAAATGACTTATGAAGGCAGATTTCCGCCATCTTGYTTGAGCAATAAAGATTTTCAAACTCAAGGAGAACCAAGTGTGAGAGGACAAAAAGAAAGTGAAAGTAATCTGTCAATGAAGGCTTTGGACAAGAAAGATTTTGAAACCTTGTTGCAAGATAATCAAAGTGACAGCTCCAAAGATAAATATCAGAATACCGCGGCTTCGTCATCATGTTCTGAAGTTTTGGATGGAAAATCGAATCAGGAAACGAGTTCAAAACTACAGCACAAACGAACAAAACACATTTCATGGTTTTGGAAACTCAAGAAGATTTTCAAGCACAGGAAGAAAAGATAACTTCTTCGCTGGTAAACAAACAGAACTGAATACTTCAAACGAACTGAATTAGTAAAATCCTGGACAAACTAAATGGAAAGGTGCGTTTTGAATCAAATTGCATCAGCCAGTGATTATGTTTACTCCTACTTATGACAGAGAATGATATAGAATGCCACAACACACYTTTTAACAATAAAGTTTACTAGTATACTAGTGAGTGTTGATTTTCTTCAGTGCCTGAGTTATTGATCGACAACATTTCGAAGGCTTTCCGTGCTATGAAGACAGACCAGATGGGTTTCTCGTAGCTTATTTCAGTCCAGCTAATCTTCGACTATCCTGTATAGCCACTGAGCACGACCGTTGATCGAGGCTTTCTTTCTCAGCGAAATAACTTATATTTACCATTGAATCTCTCCAATTATTTTGGTCAGATATATCCTTAAATCTAAACTGGTATTAAGAATAATCGAAAACGTACCTTCATGTGCAAGAAGCCAAACTGTCAACAAAGAGCAAGCCAGCCGTGTTACTTTGTTTTTCAGTATAACGTTAACCAACAAATACACAGGGAATTCGTACTTGCTTTGCCATAAAGAARGCAAGTACGAATGTCCTGAATATCTATTTGGCGTGAATAACTCCATCATCTCTCAGGTTAACGGTAGAGTTGTTGTAAATTCTCCGCTTGGCGGTTCTTGAGGAAGAAAGGTGAAGCACTATCRTCACAAATCGAGTTTTCAATAGCAAATGAACGAACGAGATCAAATGAAACCAACTCTCTTGTTATCATATTTTATTCTTCAACCGACGTAGCCTGACGCAATAAATAATAGGCTAACAAGGAATAAGTTCCGACGAAGGATTGTCGTCCGATAAGTTCAGTTTCACCTACAATTTTATCTTTTTACAYAACTGTTTCTTTAGAAACACCGACGCAGCTCACAATGGCCTGGTTTCCAGCTCGTTCCCACCATTTTAACAAGGAATATTACAATTAGGTCATGAACTGTAATGGCGGCTTTCATCTCTCTCATTGGCGTGCAAAATGGCGCTATGAGAATATTTTTATTATGCATAATTTCTTCTTCCCTATCTCAAAATTGGAAGATTTAGAATTAGAGGAATGATTTTTTTATCGCAATTTATTTGTATTACTCAACATTTGATTATAACAGAAGGAACAGAGAGTTCGATTTAACCAACGCCCTTTGCATGGCTTGCTGACATGTGTTTTCAATACTACTCAAAAACATAGATTTCAGCGATAAAAAGTAGTGTAAATTCTAGTTTTACTTAGAAATAACGATATTATCACAAAAAGAAATAAAGGTGTTTCTTACCAGAGCGGCTACAACTCTTTACTTTCGCTGCGGCGTTAAAATCTGAAGGACACATAACTCTGGAATTGTTGGACCAGTGATGTGGCCATTTTCACAGCTTGCGTCGGATCGTCTCGTGGCTATCATGATTGCCTTAAAAAACATCGAATTATATTATTCTTAGCTTTTCAAAGCCTCACTAAGAACTAACGGTGTTTGAACTGAACTCTTTGCAGAAATAATTCAGTATATGCACACACGTGGCATACGGAAAGCCATCCCATAATATACACGTTTGAGTAGAATTTTCATGTCAGCCAATCAGCAACCGAGATGATATTCCATCCCAACGTTGCCAAAACGTAAGAAACATTCCTCTTCCCGCATTATAAATCTCGCAATTAGTGACGCACTAAAATTCAAAATGATATTTCATATTTTTATGTGTTACTGTTTATTCCTTTGTGAACAAGAAAACGTTCACAAATACATAACACTGACAAATGATGAGTAATCGTGTGCTTGCTGTTTTCTATTCGCTTGAGTTGAAAATATCCTGCAAAATGGTCCCAAAATGGCAAAATAGCTATATAGCCTGATAAAGCTAGGGAAAGACTTACTAAAAACTTTCCGTTGTAGTGACGTAAATCGTAGAGTGTAAAGAACTCGTGATAACATCTTACCGGTAACTTGAAATTCTACTGTCCTTGTCCAACATGGCGTTTTGCCTATAGTATCATACACAAAACCTTACTATCGTAACTCAGTAGTTGAAAATTCCTTTTTGTCGCTTGGCATGAGGAGTTTTCCCGCCATTTGAGCTGATGTCCAAAGTTCACTGCTTTTGTTCATCCGCTGTTCACGTGCTGTTCCCGTGATAATGCATGCGAGCGCGACTTTTGCTACACACATTTTATATATGTGTTATTTGGTCTAGTGTGTATTTTGTTACAGCATGTGCGAGTCGGATTTGCTATACAATCCTCCGTGTATTTATCGTATTTATCTTATAACAATTTTAAAATAAGGTTTTATATTTCAGTCTACAACGGACGTGTGACAAGATAAACCACGGACAAACCATGCAAAACCGGTTTTAGCCGGTAATTCCGGATCCGCATGTGATGAGCTTTAGTTTGTTCTCCTAAGCTTAGACTCACGTCACTAAACGGCGACAAAACTTTGCTGACTTTCTTTACCGGCACTGAAAGGTTTCAAAAGTCCAACATAACGAGAAAATAGAGATCTTTACTGAACTGGTTTCTTCAAACGCCGCAGTACTGACGAACCTCGCCGTTTAAAAAACCGGTTTTTACCGGTATTATATTGTACGCTGAGGCCTCGCACAGGCATCAAAAGGGTCTAAACAGTAAAAAGCCTGTATTAAAGTTTAGAAATGAAAGTACATTTTAACTATATTTCAACAATACATTTAGGAAAGCTTTCTATCAATTATCATTTGTAATTGTTTCTTGTAACAGTTTTTATCGATATACATCTATCATTATGCCTGTATTTTATTGTAAACAACGCTTTGAACTTGGAAAAGGTGCTTAATAAATAAAGTATGTTATCATTATTATCATAGTTACCTGTGGATGAGAACCGATGGTTTGCACTGCAAGTTAACGTTGAAAGCCCACAACGTGCTTTGAAAAGGTGCATGATACAAGGGGAAGTCCCTCTTCCCATGATGCTTTAGTACGTTCTCATCAACAAAACATTACTTCTAGAATGATCTAGAATGTTCTTTGCCGAGGCATTCGCTTCTCTTACAATACTGCCACTCAATAGAGCCGGCATTATAAAGTCAACAATATCACTTTAAACTCCTTGATGTATAAAACCTTTTCTATCATCTCTAGATTTTCCCCAGGGGCCGCTCGGGAGATTGTGGAAGTGTTCGTATTGTAGAGGTGTACGTAGTCTCCTCGCAGCTCCGCGGGGGACAGGGAGCCCGCCACCAAGAACGGCTGCGAGGAGACTAAGGCCTACGTAATGTAAAGGTGTCCTTAGTGCAGAGGTCCGTAATATAGAAATGATCGTAATGCAGAGGTGTCTTCAATTAGAGTTTTTCCCAGACGTTTGACGTGAAGAGGTCAATTTACAGTCCATCTTGAATTCGTCAGTAATAGCTCTCAATGACATCGATAGCTTTCGATGCTGAACAGTGAAGCAATAAGCAGTTCCCAGTCGATGTCTCATCGCCTATGCCTCATGSTKCATCGACTATGCCTCAAGRCACGAARGAAAAAGGAARTGCTCTACTAACTGAAGAGMWGAAAACGCTTCTGCGCAAAACCTGGGCGATTGCATCTCAACCTAGCGTAMAGGCTGGTAACAAGCTATTTAAAACGTAAGTTATTCTTATTGACATGATCAAGTGTTCTAGAATAATAACAATTGTTTGGTATATTTTGCTTCTTTGCATRCAATTATCCAGTAGCAAGATCGTGTATTCTACTCTATTCAGAACAAGGTCTTGGGTATCTAGAGTGGGTCCTGCACAAGACGAAAAGGACCGAACGTAATCGAATGCTGCGTGTGACGGACTGAATGTTCTAGAATGTTTAATCTGATCAGTTCGTTTCCTGTTCTAAGATATAAGTAYTCTCTATGGCACTATGAAAAGTATATTTCAAAGCCTT